GCGCCTCCCCGCGCGCTGGGCAGGCACACACCTGTTAGGACGTCCCTGCAGCGCACCCCGCACACGCGCTCCTTCCCGCTGGCCGGGTCTGTCGTCTTCAGCAAGCGCAGCACTTCAGCGTAATTGGCCGTGGCAGCGCCGTACCTGGCAGCAGTGAGGGCGATGGCGAGGTTCATCCGTGCGTCGTTGTGCTGTCCTGCAGCGGGGACGGGACCGGAGGAAGGACACCAGTCACCTCCAGCCACGGACTTGTGGTATGGAAGTGTGTCAGAACCGATCTGTCACATCTGTCCCTGTCACATTGAATAGGCGTGATGGCTGCTCGCGTCTAACGAGAATTATTTAAAGATACATCCCCTCTGCTGCGCCGGAGCATCCGACAGCACGGGCCTCATAGCGTCTGGGGCTGTACAACACGCCACAGCCTTTGCACACTATGGAACTGAGAATTAGTACTCGCTCACCTCCAATCTAGGAGAGGACAAATCACTTTTTTCTTTACCTTCCCCTATGCAATCATGCTGTAATTCTGTAACTGTATCTAAGTATTCGTTTGACAGTCCAACCAGTATTAATCAGCAATTCCTATTAGCAAATGTACCACACAGCATTCAGCATCCAAGAAACAACCTTTCAGAGACTGTGCCAAATTATCAGCTTTCTGTAACTGTTTTTTCTTGTGTATGCATTTTAACTTCCCAACATACAACATAAAAGCATCAAAAAAAGAGAAATAAGTAGACAAGAATTAATGAAGGATTCTTAACATATATCATTAAAGATTTATTACTGAAATTCCCTCGTTAAAGAAAACCAAGAGAGAGGCGGAGGGACCATGAGGGGAAGATGATTAATTACTTTGAAATACTGGCTTCACCTGAGACTTTTCCTATTTATTATTGCCACTGAAGTTAAAGTCCTGGATGCTGGCTAGAAAGAATTACTATACATTGAAGGGGCCAGGCTCTGTGTGTCCTGAATCATTAATTTACGAGAGGGCTAAACTTCCTGAGGTACGGTTCGCTTCCCCACGTGTTTGGACCACTTCTATCAAAGATAATACTGATAAAGTGATAAATTTGTAATAGATATTGTAGTTGATTTATGTTGCCAGCATTCCCAACGTTTAGTATAAATGGTTTATGTAAAGTTTGGTCCTTCTGATTCTGCCTGTGCAATCTCGAACCTCTGCGCAAATAATCTGTTCCTAGCTAAAAGGGCAAAGTTATAAAGATGGGATCAATGGCCTCGAAGGCGCCACCTCCCCTCCCCAAACTTCTCATTCTAACACAGCTGAGACGATACAGTGCAATCAGTCTTCAACTACAAGAAAAAAAGTTATGCGAAGCGTATAGAAACAGTAACATGATAAAGCACCGATGAAGAAACAAACAGTAACTCCAATTCAACTAAGCAAACAATGCCCAGAATAAACTGCAGAAAAGAACAGCAAAACAACTGAGCAAGATGTCAAGAAAAGTTGGGGATGCTCCATCACACCGGATGCATAAGACTAAACAACCATCTGTCAGAAGTGGCAGGCAAATCATTAAATAAATGCATCAACATTTATGCTGCAGTAGTGTCAGGGAATGGATAAAATGACCTTATTAAGTTTACCTCAAACCTTAACATTTTAACGCAGGGTTGAGAGAATGTACATCTCGTATATAGAGGGAGCACTAGACAGAAAAAAGACAAAGAACAGCGACAAGCTGCATTACAGTAGCTGCTTCTACATAAAGCAGAAGGACCCCAGGGCCAAGAGGGTTTCCTTAGTTACTTTTTGATCCTCCATCCATTTGTTCTTGCCATCAGTGCATAAGGTGGTACCCGATACAAACTGGTTTTCTCTGGCTGACACAGGGTGTGGATTCATCACACAAAAGCAGCACAATTTACAGTGTTAGCCAATATTAGCTTTGGTCTATGGGAAGCCTGACTGTTTAAATTTTGCAAGCTTGCGTCTTCCCAGTTTTGTGACTTATTTGCCCAGACCAAAAGCAATCCAGAGAAGCCAATCGGCAGAATAAATAATGTGGAAACAGGTGTAATTTCTAAAAAGAACAAACATCTAAGTAACAATTGTTTATTAAGCCCCAAATCCAAGAGCTGCTCAGCATTTTGTTGAAACTCCAAATGCTCATAATGTCAGAGTGAGCTAAGGATATGCTCAGTGCATTTCAGGATTTGGACCACTGTGTTCAAGATAACATTTTCACGCTTTCTCTGAAACTCTCATCCATTTTCCCCTCATCATTATTCTGATGTGAGAAACCCCTTGCTATTACTCAGTTCTCTGCTGTCCAAAAATGCCTCTGTAATGTATTTGCAGGAAGAGGACTGGGAAATAACCAGTTCCTGATTAACTACACATCTAGAAAAACCCACTGGCTTCAGATTGATGTGATCTACAGTGTGGAGTCCTAGAGTATTTCATAGTACAAACAGTAGAGATCTGTAGAGGTCTAGATTTGAAAGAAATGAAGAGTGACTTACCGGCTCAGAAATTTATCATCTGTGGAGAATAATACTGCAACAGTTTGGTAGGCATCGGGTCACAGTACAATAGTTTTTATACTCAGGAACAGCTTTTTTTTCCTAAAGCCCTCCAACTCACATGTGCACACTTTCCCCCAGACAATTACGTTAAAATCCTGCACTTTATATGCAATTATCTTTTTTACTTAATGTCTGAAGAAGTGGTTGCTGTTCCTCCATGCACACCCCCCTTATAAAGGTATCATAGCCACATCAGTTTTTACTACAGCAGCGTTCACAGTTGACAAAGCATATTTTCTGCAGATTAAAATAAAACTAGCTATTTACACGTGTGCTAGTTCGGAATCGGGAACGTTTATGTCAAAGAGATTGGTATGCATCCTGGTACTTAGATGATCCTTACCACACCAGAGAGAAACGGAAGGATGAAGCAAAGCAAAGATTCTGCATCTCAACCTTTCCAACTTCCCAGTTAAACACCATCTCCAGGTAAGATTCAGAGATCCTCCAAACCCAAGATAGTAGTGCCTCCAAGCTTAACTTCCTCCAGAACAGACATGTAGAGCTTTCTTGACACAAGCACTACTACCATCTTCAGAAGATGCCCAGGAAACCCAAGGCATAGTTGTGTGATAAACAGCAAAGTAACCAAAAGCTTCTATGGGAGATCCTGGATTACCTACTTAAGATAGCTCTGCATCCACTGTCCTTCACAGCAGCCCCTGGTGCTCCAAAGCAAAACCAAGTAAACCGTTACTCCCCCTTGCTACCAGAGGTAACCACCCTCTATGATACCATGGGTTTTTTTCCCAAATGTTGTAAGCCAAAAAGTTATTTTATAACAATAGAATGGCTAAGCCCAATTAATTTGGCATCTTCTTCCATAAAGGAGTAAGCTCCTGAAGATCTCATAACTGACCTGTAGGCAATACAGTGAAATTATAATTGTGACATTCGCCAACAACAGATGTTCACAAACACCCTGCCCTGGAGGGGTCACTGCTGCTTCAGTCCTGTTGCTCAAGGGCTAGTTTTGAGAGCACTTGTTTATTGTACACATGTCAGTTGTCAGCTGGAAGCATCTCAGTGGTGCGAAAGGCAGCATCTTTGGAAGAAGCGTCCAAGAGCCAACTGATGGAACACGCTGAATTTTCTTTGCAACTCCTCCTGTGATACTTCTTGAAAATAAGAGGATGTTTATATCCTTTAAGTTATTTCTAGCAAGAAAAACTGAAAGAATCATCCATCTCATTATTCACTATTGTCATCTACTTGTAATATAGTAACAATGGAGTGAAACTTTAATTTTTTTTAAGGGTAGTCAACCTAGCTTTTAACAAAACACTAGCCTAAGTGCTTTCATTAAGTTAACACGGAATCCTCTTAAAAAACCCTTATTCTTAGAAGGCATACTGCTGAAGACATTTACTGTGTGAAGACATTTTGTTTAAGTGTGTCCTACATCATGTTAAGATCAACAGTGATGCCATTTGGTTTATAATTTCTTTTTTCATGTAATTTAGGAAAATTCTATTTTCATTCCTTGGTAGCAAATGTTGTATTTCTTCAAAGACGAACAGACAATGCTTCCGTTGGCACTAAAAGAATCCTCCCACAGAGTGCACATAGTGTACATTCAATTTTATTTTTATCAATGCTGAACCACAGCCAGTAGTGGTAACAAAGCCCACAGACTGTAGAAATTTGTTTGTGACTGATTCAGTAGAGTTGTGTGAAAACCACTCTGGTAGTTCTAGTATATTCTGTCCTGTGTCACACTCTGACAGCTCTTACTTTTATACCAATTCCTGCTTGTTCCTCTGCAACTCTATTCAGTTGAAGATAAATAGCACACAGTAGCCAGTGACTGCATTTTTTTTTTTTAAGAAGCTGGAAGCTCTTTTAATCCTAAGAGGGTAACTTTTGTTCACGTTAACCTTTTTATGTTAAGAGCTAACACTTCGTTATTGAGTATACCTGCTGCATGACAATTAGTCATGTAACAATGCATGCAAGCATTGCAGCAATTGCCCCAAATACACTTTGGCTCATACTGCAACAGCATAGCTGTAATACGGGGTTTTGCAAACTTCTTGCTTTAAAGAACAGGTTGGTCCCTGCAACAGACATGAGAGCCTTCTCACCTTTTCTCAATTTACAGTCTTTTCTGATTAGGCATATCTAGTTATTGCTGTGGAGGTCAAGTTTAATGGAGAGTTGGAAGTTAGCCATGCAAGAAGCTATATGACAGTCTTAATGAACTTTCTCAAGACAGCAAATCTTTCCATAGAACCACCTACCAGGCTTCTTTTGAAAGGAAAAATACATGAAAAGAAATATTTGCATGAAAGAACTAGGCCCACAGTATGGTCACAATTTTACATCCCTACATAATGCAGCCACACAAATAAGTAGGGGTTTTTTTTTGTTTTCTTTTAAAATGCTGAGGGGATAAAGGCAAACTAAATACTTGCAAATTAATCTCTTGCTTGTATGTTACTCCTTTACTGATACCAGTGAGCTCCAGTTACTTAACTAGAATAGTTAACTGTAACTCATGAGGCAGTCCCTTGGATTTGGAACATATCCAAAAACCTATCACCCAGCATCAAGATGGGGATATCACTGGATCACCACAATAATGACACCCATTCTCCCCAAAAGCACGGATATTCTAAAAGTTATTCTAAAAGT